ATATCTAATATTTAAAGTAATTTACTATATTAAATCATAGAAAACTATATCCACAATGGCCATGTGAGACTTGTGGACCTAAAACAAAAATGAGAACAAAAACAAACAAACAAAAACCCAGAAAGTGTTGTTTTTAACAAAATCTCAATCATTCAGTTTTACCAATAAAGACTCAGGAGCCAGATGCCGGAGTGAAAGCCTGATAGCTCTGAGAGGCAGAGAAACACCCAGCTGGCCTTCCTCCTCAGCCAACATCCCCGAAGCCTTCCCCCTTCTCCTATGCCTTCCCAGAAAAAAAACCCTCAAACTCCAATTGAATGTCCCACCTTTCTATTTCCTGTGGATCTCTCTATCCATCCTCCTGACTGCCTCTTATTCTCTGTGGTATTTTCTTGTTCACTTCCTGTCAACTGGTTGCTTGCTCTGCCTCTTGACCTACGGTTGACTTTATTTAATCCTGTGTACAATATTCAAGCAGAAAGCTCTTGGATTAAAGGTTTGTGCTAGGGCTGAGTCACAACTAGAAACACATTTTTCCAGTAAATAACAAAATCTTGGGGTTCACAGTATGATCACATATCCTGCAACAAGAAGGGAGAGGAAAACACAAACACTAGATAGAGTTCTGTATCTGTGAGTCCACACATGTGCTTTCCTGTGTACACTTGGAAACTGTCCAAAGAGCACACATAGAATGCAGAAACATTTATTCCAGGTTATTTTCTAATTTAATAAAATCCATGAGAACATTTAATCTGAACTATGAACCCCAAAAAACTTCTCCTCTCCTATGCAGCCCTATAAAGATTAATATTCCAGTCGAGGGCCAGGATTATGAGCAAGAGGGCATGGATTCCTTTTCCTTTAGTTTACACTGAAATGCTGCTAAAAAGTTATATGTGCTAAATCTATGAGAAAAATGCTTTTGATGATTGACAGAAAATCATTATTCTACATATTCAAGAAAATCAAGTCCAATAACATAAACATAGATTAGATCCTGAGACATCACAGTAAGAATGCTGAAGGGAGAGGAAAATTCAGGAAACCACAGAGAAAAGCAACTTGTCACTTAAAAGTGAGTGCAACTGGTAACATCACACCAGAAACTGTCCATCCTAGAAGATAGTCAGCCATCACTTGTTTGATAAAGACATTAATTAAAAATCTTATATCCAGCAAAACCAAGTTTCACAGACAAGGGTGAAATGAAGACTTTATGTCTAAGCAAAAACCAAGAGGACTTCCTGTAGTCTTGCCCTAAAACAATGTTCAAGTGAGATCCTCAGCCTGACGCCTAGAGATATCAGACACTAATCTAAACCTCTGAAAAAACAATACAACACAAGAAATGTAATTAGGTCATTATAAAAGAGCATTAGGTGGGCACTTTTTACTTATACTATCACTTTAAGTTCTTGGAGAATAAGCATTATTTTTATGTACACTATCACTTAAAAGACAACTATATAAAACACTACTACATTGTGGTACCATTAGACCTACAACACACACACAAAGGCACATTCTTGACAATGACAGTATAAAGGCAGATGGGAACAAAGCTGAACTAGATAGATAACTAATACTATTTCAGTAACTTGTATCTCTGGAACCAAATGAACATAAGGAGAGTGGCAAATAAGATTAAATAAGAAACTCGATGAATATATATTTACTCTCCTCTATCAGACTCTTTAATATGTACGTAATCATCAGAGTAATCACTCTAAAATATGTTGTTGAGGTTGATACATCTATAAATGATGTAAGATAATATCCTTTGGTCGTATGACAAGGAATATATATTATATATATATATGCATATATGTATATATTAGCACAGAAAGGGAAGTCATAGGGCTATTTTGTAATAACTAAATAGATCATGATAATCAAGTTTGTATAAATCTAAAATCAATTCTCAAATATATATATATATATCTTAGAACAAACCACTATGAATATAAACTCAAAAGCAAAAAATTTAATAGTTATAAATATGTATACCCTTAAAAACAGAGTTTCAAAATACAAAATGAAAATACAGAAAGAATTTGAGAAACAATTTAACAATGTTAGTTGGCAACTTCAATATCTACTTTCAATAACAGAAATGGACAGAAGACTGATAAAGAAATAAAAGACTTAACCAAAGCTGTAAGCCAACTAGAATGATTAAGCATCTATAGTACACACCACACAAAAGAAAAACCAGCATCCATGTTCAGCATACCGATGTCATTCTCTGTGAGATATGAGAAAGCCTACACACCTTGTAAAGGATCCAGCTATACTAAGTATGTTGTCTAAACACACACACACACACACACACACACACACACACACACACACACGCACACACACGCACACACACAAAGGGAAATAATAAATGAATACAAAAACTTTGGAACTCATAAATATTTCCAAATTAAACAGCACATAGGTTGTCATTTAGGTTCAACATTAAAGTGCAAATTGGAGAGAATACACTGAATGAATGAACATTTAAAAGTATTTCAAAATCCATAGGCTGCTGCTAAAGTGCTCAAGGAAAACTTACTATGGTAAATGTCTTGATTTAGAACAGAAGCATCTCAAATAAATACCTGGGTCTTCCCCCTTCAGATAATGGAAAAAGCAGAGCTTAAGTCCACAGTAGGCATCAAGTAATGAAAGAAACTGCAGATCACAACAGAAGCACGGTAGAGAAAAACAGCAAAATCAAACCAGTTCTTTGGGAGGATTAACATACTGGTAAGCCTTTGGATAGACTGAACAAGGAAGAAAGGAAGACTCCCAGCAAAATGGTTCAACGGGTGTTGGCACTTGCTGCCAAGCCTGATGACCTAAGTTTGATCCCATCCTAAGAATCCACATGGTAGAGAGAGCCACCTCCTCAAAGCTGCCCTCTGACCTCCACGTGCACACTGTGGCATGTGTGTACCCACACACATACAAACACACACATTTTTTTCCAAGTAGAAGACTGATATTACCTTGGCTGACAAGCCTTCTGAGATAGATATCCCCTCACACACCCTTAGGTTCATTTACAACCACAAGTCAGATGCATTTGTTAACGTGAAAGCTATGTGGAAGGCTCTTCAGTTTGTCGCCTTCACTCTGACTCTCAGGATTTGTGAGATTCACCACACACTCCTAGTTAAGCCCTCCTTCACTTCTGCTCCAGAAGACTCCTCCAACTTCAGGTTCCACTGCATAACTTTTGATCTTCTTTCCCACTCACCATCAGAGTAATATAGGTTTGAGAATATTTATTTACAGTTTTATTGATGAAAAAATTAGACTTTCAAATCCAGTCATACAAACACACTAGTGTTTCTGTTCTGAATCAGTGGCAATTAGCACTTGAAGGGGTTCATCAAACATGAAAATATTGGTTGGCCTTAGTGGCACACACCTTTAATGCTAGCAGAGTCTGGTAGACCTCTGGGAGATTAGGGCCAGTCTGATTGACATAGAGACACCCATGGCAGTCAAGGCTAGACAGTGAGACTTCTCTCAAAATAGATAGATAGATAGATAGATAGATAGATAGATAGATAGATAGATAGATAGATAGATAGATAGATAGATAGATAGATAAATGAATGAAGAAAGAAAGGAAGGAAGGAAGGAAGGAAGGAAGGAAGGAAGGAAGGAAGATACAAAGAAAAAATATAAGGACTACGAAGCTTCACCATGGATACTAATCTTAAATGGTCATTTAAGAAAATACTCAGAAAATAATTTTAGTTGCTTTATGAAATTCTTTTCTTAGACTAGAAGATAAGCATGTGAGCATTAGATGTCACTCTGGAGGTCAATTATATTAGTTTTTGTTGTTACATTTTCCACTTTATATATTTCAGGGTCATATGGTTAGAGACTGATGGAAGTATGACACACGAAAACCAAGAACTCAAGTCCAAGTCTGTCTGCAGGAGTGGAGACACAGATGCCTATGCCTGATTGTGTCCCAGTCACTGATCTACCAAAGAAATTCTAAGCATGCCAAGCATGAAAGTCTTTAGAACTGTTCCAGTAACTATAAACTACAACATCCCTGCAGCTAGGGTTGGTCGCATCTCATAGTGCTACCCTGGATGATGTAGAGGTTTAGACTGCAGGGTTGCTTTTTGTTGTTGTTTGTTTGGTTTTTGATTTAACCTATACTTTGCCCTTTTCTTTTTAGCACATACTAAAAGCTGAAAAAAGGAAGTATCCAGGCCCTGTCTGTGCCGTTGGAGGTCTGCACGTGGCTGCTCTGCTGCATTGTAGGGCTACTGACCCTTCTCGTCTCCCATGTTCCTCAGGACCACAGCTCGAGTCTTCCTTCCTGCCCAGGACTCTACATTGAACCTTCTTTGCTTCCGTTTTCTGGGAGGTCTCTTGTAACCTTTTTATTTGTATTGTTTTCATTAATGCAGCTTCTGCCCAACAGATTTAAAATCTCTGCATAGGTGGTTATTCTACCTACCAACACAAAACCCCTCCATATTTATTTGTTTTTTTTTCACCAATTACAGCCACCAATAATATTTATTTATTAAGTTCTTGCTTTCTGCCAGTATCTCTACTGCTTTACACCATTCTGTCACAGTGAACCATGACTAAAGACGTGCTAAATGGACAGCCACTCTTAATACAAGGCTATGGCCAACCCTATCTTACCTCAACACAGAAGTGCAATCTATAGAATAAAGTATTTTGAAGACTTACAGAGTGTACAATACTAAATTAATCTAGTGTACTAGTGAATTATATTTCTGTTATGAAAAACAAAGTTATTGCTGTGCCCAACTTTCTTCCTATTTATTTCTTATACTATTCTTAACTTTGTAGAAGCCATAGTTTCAGATATGCTCTAATTATATTAGTTCAATTCTTTAAAAAATAATATATAAAGTATTTTTTCATTAATTCCAAAATTGTTTTCTATAACAAACCAGCTTGGTATTAAATTTGGTATAATAATTAAAAAAACACACACACAATTTTTATGATTCTTTCATGTTGTATTTTGGAGTTCTAGGCTGTTGTGAATCAAAACTCTTTTTATTATCAAGAATTACACTAGGCTGGGGATGAGCATATTTTCTAATACAGACAGGAAGTGAACAACTTGGCTCTGGAAATGTGGAGGCTTTCTTTCATCTCATATTGATATACGATGCAGTCATATCAATAGGTCTGAAAACTACTGTTACTCTTTCTACACATCAGCAAAAAGCAGTATGTGCAAAGTCTGAATATCAGCAGCCGTGACGTGCTCACACACTGAGTTCCTTTCCAGTCAGCAGCCACTTCTAATATTTCAGAACAGCATGTGTGCAGACAATGGTCACAGATATCCATCCAAGCTGGAAAAGCGGAAGACAATGCAGGCTTGAGGGTTAAAAGGAAGCTGCCACTCAAGAAGTTCCACGCCTCATCCAAGGGCTCCATGGGACCACTGTCTTCCTCCTTCAGGCAAGAGAATGAAGCAGTTAGATTACTGGCACCCTTCTACAGCATACAGCCTTGCTAGAGTCCAATTAAAGATAGTAAAAATTAAAAATGAGAGAATGTAGAAATTTTAAAATATCTTCACAGGTTTGCTATCTTTGTAATTTTCTTACAAGGTCTACCATAATTTTACTTCTATGTCAGAAAGAATTAGAGTACAATGTCACAGCCACAGGTATTTTCAACCAAATTAATACTATATTACAAATGAAACACATGTCAGATCTAATAAATAAAAATGAAGCTTTAAATTGATATCAATTGCATGTGTAATGATCACAGCTAGATAGTAACCACTTCTCCCTGGTCTGAAAGCATCTTAAAGGTCTTACTAATTCCATAGTTAAATGTAGAATAATACATGGCACAGTACTTTGGGGGTGTAGCAATCCATAGGTTTCCTAATGTGGTAATTTAAATAAGAATAACCTCCACAGGCTCATCTGTTTGAATACTTGGTTCCCAATTGGAGGAACTATTTGGGAAGGATTAGGGGTGGGTGGAGGTATGTCACTGTGGGGAGGCTTAATAGCCCCGGCCATTCCCAGTTTGCTCTCTCTTCATTGGGGTTGTGTCTCAAGATGTTAAGATCTCAGCTACTGCTCCAGTGTCATGCCTGTCTGACTGCTGTCATGCTCCCCACCATGATGATGTAGGCTCAGTATGTTCCCTGACCCAAAGTAAATGCTCCATGGAAGAGTGCACATGTGCATGTGTGCACATTGCACACACACGTGTATGTACATGCACAAAAAAGTAAGGTAAAATGACAGCAGCAGATGTTTCTATTTTACTTCTTTTTTATTTGTTTCAAAATTATATTGAGGCCATTTAACTAATTAAATAAGTAAAAACGTTTGCTATGAGGACTACCTGTAATCCCTCTCACATTCAGCAACTTTCTACTCAATTCTTTCCATGAATGATTTTATGACCATCACAGACCGTGATCCTAAGCACGTCATCCAATTTGCTTGAGTATTAGGTGTTGACCGTCCCAATGGCCGGGGAAGATTTAAAGTTCTCTCCTCTGGTCAGTCCCTCCTCCCCAACACACAGAGGCACACCACGCAAGAAAACTGCATCAATCCCACCCTGCAAATATATTTATACTGTAATTTTGGCTGAATCAATTATTTTATATTATAGTAATAATAAATAATATTCAGAATGAAACTACAGGTTTCACTTGATTTTTTTTTCTTTCCTGTGTGTTGCTTTCTCTGAATTGAATAAGCATTTTTGGTGTTTCATAATTAATTCAATCCAATACTACCTATCAATTGTCCTACTTGCTTCAAGAAGCTAAGGCACATGTTGTGGCTGGGCAGAATGGCACAGACCTTTAATTCCAGCACTTATGAGGCAGAGGCAGGTAGGTTTCCTTGAGTTCAAGGCCTGTCTGGTCTACATAGCAAGTTCAAGTCTTGCCAGGCTATATACTGAGCTCTGGTCTTTGTATTTGCATCTCTGCAAAAACCTCTTCTAGAAGCTCATACCCAACCCAGCCACATCTGCACTGACTGATGTCTGTGTCTGGGATCTCACTTTACTGCCATCCCGGCGTACTGGGTCAGCTGGAAAGCAGACTGTCTTTTTTGACAGTGCACAAGAGACTGGGTGAGGAGGAAGAGACCAGAAACCCTGGATTCGTAGGAAAGGGCTCCTCCACCCTATTCTAGTGAGGCAGCCTAAGTTCCCTAATACCAACTCTTCTGAGTCCTCTCCACAAGGTAAGTACTTCCAGGCTTCTGCCAGGCTGTATAACTGCTTCTCAAACATTATTCAACCAACACAGCTAATGCCTTTCAATGTCCAGAAACACCTGTTGCAAATCCCCAGGCCTCTGAGAGCCCATCATGAAAACATCTGCTACCTCCATCACCATGCCACCACATGCTTCCAGCTTCTAAGGCACGTCCACCTCTGTCTCTCCTCTTGCTTTCTCATCCTTTTGAGTTTGCACACTTAAAGAAGTTCGCTTTTCTGTTATTTTAATGTGATTTGTAGTAAAAACAAAAGTGTCAGTGCTTAATCAGTGATCATTATTTGTGACAAACATTCCTTTTGATGCATTCTGTGTATTTTCTAAACTCTTTCTGATAACCATGTCATCTGGTCATCAGAATATGAATCTATTTGATAAAAAAATCTAAAGAAATGACAAGTAAACAGAGGTAATCAGGCTTGCATTCTCCTCTTTGGGAAGTCTTCCAAATACCCATTTGTCTAACCATAAACAGGGAAGCTTAAATGTAGAGTGAATTTTCTGTTCTGCAATGATTATTATTCACAATAATAACCTTCAAGAATGACCACATTCTAAAGAGTCTGTTAAATCAATTCTTTTGATATAATTATAACAGATGTTATCTTTCACATGCCTATTTTGGACCTTAATTTGTCATCTATAAAGAGACCCCAGGGAATGAATGCAATTCAGATCCCTTTAGAGAATTTCCTGAAAAGCTGCGAACAATACAAATGCACGTGTGCACACATCCTGCCCCTCAGAGGCTGCAGAAGGTCAGAGGCTGATGTCAGGGACAAAAAGTCTGACTCAGCTAACTGACTACTAAAGCATCCCTTTTAAAACAAAAAGCATGGCCCACACAATCAACTAAGCAGAGCTCATGGGGGCTCACTGAGACTGCACTGACAACCAGGGAACCTGGAGGAGTCTGAGCTAGGTCCTCTGTATATATATCATGGTTGTATAGCTTGATGTCCTTGTGGAACTCCTAACAGTGGGAGTAGGGGCTGTGTCTGACTCTTCTGCCTGCTTTTGGGACCCTTTTCCTCCTACTGTGTTGTCTTATCCAGTCTTGATATGAGGGGATATATCTGGTCTTACTGTAACTCGTTATGACATGTTGAGTTGTTATCGCTGGGAGGCCTGCTCTCTTCTGAAGGGAGGCAGAGGAGGAGTGGATCTAAGGAAGAGAAGAGGTGGGGAGGGAAGGATCTGGAAGGAGAGGAGGGAGGGAAAACTGCGGTCGGGATGTCATATGAGTGAAGAATAAACAAACAACAACATTGACACGGGCTTAGTGATGGCTCAGCAGATAAGAGCACTCGTTCTTGCAGAGGACCTGGGTTTGGTTCCAGCACCTAGAATATGGTAGCTCACAACCATCCCAACCTCAGTTCAGGGAATCCAAACTACTTGTCTGATATTGAAAGTACCAGGTGCACACATAGTACACAAACATACATGTAGACAAAACACTTGCACACACACAATAAATATATCTAAAAAAACTTTTTTAACTTAAAAAAATGGTGATGTGCTAAGAATGAACTCTTTTTAACTGGCCATTTTCTGGGCACAAGTGGCACTTCCTTGGGTGGGTTGGCTCTTTTCCCGGGCACTAATGGCACTTCCTTGGGTGGGTTGTACAAGTTTCCCTGACTTGGTCTTAGATGTGAATAAATGTCTCTGTCCTAGCTGAAAGCTCCTGCAGGCAGCTCAGAACAATCTCACACAAAAGAAAGAGGTTGAAATTCAACGTACTTCTATTATAACCAAGGGCATATAGCTACCTGCTTTTCTTACACAGCCACTAATCACAGAAAGGAAAACAAAAAAACACCAAAGAAGAGAAAGGCAGAGACCAGGAGTGACAGTTGTTCTTGAATACTCCAAGGAAAGATACGGGACACAGGCCTCTGGGTGTAGAGATTAAAGCATCAGAAATAAGGACAGCAGATGCCACAGTTAATTATTTAAAGTTCACAGAAGTACCCATTGGTGCAACAGAGTAAGAATCATTTAAATTAGAAATACATAAAATTGTTACTATTGACAAATACTACTATGGTTTAGCTAGAAAACTCAAAATAAGCAACTGAGAGTCATTAGAAACTATATGAAAGCATCATTAGAAAAGCATTAGAAAATCAACCTAACAAATTATGTTTTTCATAAAACATTAATCAATATAAAATAAAATGGAAAAAATAATAGTCAATATGGATCATCACAAACATCATAACGGTGAGTGCCCATGCTTCGTGAATGCTAATCTTCTGCTTAATATCACCTCACAAGTTCTCAAACAGCGCTAGGAACTTAGAGCACCTGTTGTCTCCACTTCATTTATGAGGAAGCAAAGGCTGAATGACTACTGATAATTTGCCCAAGGTGGGGAGCCGGTAGAGGGTCTGCATTCACCATCACTGTACCCACTGTCCAGCCACACCCAGTCGACTCTGCCCAAATATGCCACCCAGAGTAACTTCAATGAAGGGACAAAATATGTGAAATATAGTCTTAAAATATATGAATGACAAAAAATTACAGTAATTGTACCAAGCAAATATCTACCCTTGTCCCTCAATATTATAAAGAAATAAACTCCCTTAAGTGATGCACAATACAAATCATACATTCTAGTAGTGTTCTTTCCTTCCTTTTTCTTCTTGTATTTTGTTATTTCTATTCTTCTGATAAAATGATTCTCTAGTTTATCTGGAAATTTTAACCATGTGAGAACCACCAGAAGAGACTCGTAACGGGCCTTGTCCACACTAAGGTCACAGCACTGCACTTCGTGGCAGCACTAGACAAAAAGAGGGAACAGAACAGGGGTGTTGGGGATGAGCCAAGGACCAAGGAACTTGATGTAATGTAAAAAAGTCATCCTCATACAGATCAGCAATGACCATAAGTCATCCTTATGCAGATCGGCAATGATCATAAGTCATCCTCATACAGATCGGCAATGACTCGAAGTCATCCTTATGCAGATTGGCAATGATGAGAATTCCCTAAAAACTGGATGCTGGTAAAGTGAAGAGGAGCACCTGGCTAGTTGGCATATGGACTGATACAACTCAGTAATCTTTTCTCTGAGTTAAAATAAAACTCCGATAATTACATTACTAAGAGGTTTTGGGTTTGTTGTTGTTGTTGTTGTTGTTTTGTTTTTGGTTTTATGAGACAGGGTTTCTCTGTG